CAGTAAAAATCCTTCCAGCTGCACAGCATCTGATACCAGAGGAAACAATCATCCAAAAAATGTGATTTACATCCAGAAAAAAGGAAACTAAAGTTTCCAAAAGCAAAATCTCAGAATGAAAGTAGCAGAGCTGCTCCAACATGCAGCCACCTTGAGCGGAGCAATTCTAGAAACTCCAGTCTTGTCGTCAAATGCACGTTATGTTTATAAATGTGCTTACTGGCAGAGGTTTTTGATGTCTTAAATCGTGTTCTGATAAGGACAAGGTGTGAAAATATATTTTTTGTAAATCACTATCTATCCTCATGGCCTTTCCCTTTTTCTATCTCTAAAAAGTATTCTGAAAAAGGATAATGACCGCGCTCCAGTAGCAGCAGCAGCAACGTGCACTCCGCCCATTATTCGGACGACTGTACGAACATAATCTCACTGTATCTCAGTACAACGATAACAAAACTCATTCTGATGTCGCAAACTTTGAGTATTTCACTTTCTCAGTTTAATGCATGCATTAAACCTTACTGATACAAGGACAAAATGTGCGGGTGCAGTTTGCAATTTGAGATGAAAATCTACTTTTTAAAACAGTTTTCCAGTCAAAATACTAGTTTGACCCCACAAGAGCAGAATAATTCTTAGGTGCATCCAGCTGATACTTGAATCATTCTGCAGTTTAAAACATGTAGTGACAAATAACCCTCCAACACTACGTTAATTTAAGGTAAATCCCCACAGTGTTTTCAAGCAGAATATTTCATTACTCCAGTACAAATTAAGACAGTCTCCTACCTTACTGCAATAAGACAAAACGTGAAGACTTTGCTTTTAAAACTCCCCAAATCCCAGTCCCATTAAACACTGCCTGAATAGACTAATCAACAGGAGCCCAACACCAAAAACCACAGCACCAAGCTGCAAATGTCCCTCTGTTGGACACCACAGGCACTTCCTGTCCACTGTCCAAACACCAGAGCAAAACTTCACAGGAAAAACTACAAACTATTGGGCACGTGTTTTTATGTTTAAGTCTAAGTTTCAATGTTTGCTCTCCACAAGAAGAGCAAATTTTCCACAAATAATTTGTTCAAGTGTTTCCGTTATATGAGACTCTTTGGTTTTGGATTTTGTTAGCTTTGATAGAGGTTTGTATTTGTTGTTTGATTCATTCTTTTCTGTTTCTTTCAAGCAAGGCACAAGAGAAACGTCAAATTATCCCAACAGTCATAAAAAATAGTTCAGTTGAATGTTTTTTTTTTAACACTGTAAAAACCTAGTTTGTTCCCTGTTTTTTCTTTAGGATCTTTGCTTTCACACACCTAGAATCAATAATGAATTTGTGTTTACTTTACTGTCTTTGGATTCTCCATCTTCAAAGGCTGTATGTTGTGTACTGTTTGAGAATTCAAGGGTTTTATTCTCCTGTCTGTCCGTCTTTTGAGAGTTCTGTCTTTGGATTTTCTAATTCCGTGTTTTTCAGTACTTCCCCAGATACTTGAAGGGGCCTGGACTTCTTGTTCACGAGTGGAGTACGAGATGGATTGGAGGATTGGAGCCTCATCTACAGTAATGAGGGTGTTGCTTCGGTCATTTGTGGTGAAGAAAGAGCTGAGTTGAAAGGCAAAGCTCTCAGTTTACTGGTCCAGCTACGTTCCACCCCTGGTGGTCATGAGTTTTGGATCATGACTGAAAGAACGAGCTCACCAACAAAAGCACGAAAATGAGCTTCCTTCGTGGGGTGGCCACTGGCCAGGCTCGGGCTTAGAGACTGGGTGAGGAGCTTTGTCATCCGGGGGGAGCTCAGAGTAGAGCTGCTGCTCCTCTGCATCAAAAGGGGTCAGTTGAGGTAGTTAGGGCATCTGATTAGAACGCCTTCATTCAGAGGTTTTTTTGAGCATGTCCCACATGGAATAACTGGAGGGATTACATATCTTATCTGAACTGGAAACGCCTTGGGATCCCTCAGGAGGACATGGAGAAGGTCACTGAAGAGGGAGGTCTGGGTTTCTCTCTTGGACTTGTTGCCTCTGCGACCCGACCACAGATGAGAGGTAGAAGATGGAGATGTTTCTTGGCAATCATCCTTTGGGCACTCCATCTTGCATGTTTTAAACGTGTTCCTGTTCCAGCACATCAAAGGAATTAAACTCCCTCAACATCTTGACACTAAGTTCTGCTGAGCCTTGTTAATAATTGATTAATTTGAAACAGGTGTGGTGAAGCAAGGGAACACTCAGACTCTGCTTGACAGTGGATGCCAAAGACTAGAACAGGAAAAAAAACCTGTCCTTCATCACATGACAAACATTTTTGGGGTAAATAATAAATGCTAAACCTACCCCGTACACCAGCTCCCCGACCATGCCGTTCCAGATCTTCGTCTCTGGGTCCCTGGCGCCGTACTTTCCATCGGGGACAATGGAGATCTTGTACTTGATCCCGATGTGTTTGGCAATCTCCGAGGCCAGGTCCACACAGTACCCCTCGTACTGGTCGTTCCCCTCGTACATCTCCCAGTTCTTCTTCACCATCACATAGGGACCCTCCTACACAGAACCACAACCAGTGAACCATACCGTCAGGCAAAGACAGAGACCCGGACAGGGGTGTTTGAACAGACACCAACACTCAACAGGAACTGTACCTCAAACACCAGGTGAGAAAACCACTGTTTATTTTTAACCACTGGTGATGCTCTGAAGCAATGACCTGATCACAATCATGCTGATGGCAACATGCTTCTCCACTGACTGAGATGGTGGGAAAATGAATCAAATAAACAAATAAAAGACAGGAAAACATTAAATTAACTGACAAGTTAAGGTCCTGTTGAATCTTCCTGCAGTAACTAATCAGCCTAGTTTTGACTGTATACATTTATTTGGTCAGTATTTACTTTTTGAAAACCAATAAGAAACTTTCTCACTTGGCTACAACTGAGACTAGCTGGTGACTCAAAATTGTGAGAAATCAGTTTTTTGCAATAATCATCAGTGTGGATTTAAGACTTGGACATAAAAACTCCTGCGTAGCTGTCAAAATACAACTCTAGCTCTCTCGAGTCAAGTTGGAGACACCTGCTATTAAATTAAAATGGGTCCAGGGTGGGTTTGAGACCGCCACAACGACTTAGAGACTGTTCTGAGCCGAGAACAAATTTGTTGCACTTTTTTTGTAGATACATTCAAAGCTCGAGCATCAAGATAACGTGCCTGAAAACTGAAAGTGTTTTGAGACACTTTGGAGACTCCCTCGCAATTGCTGTTAACCAACAAATTGCCAACAGCTGCAGCCAAGTCAGGTAGTACCTTTAGCTTAAAAAAAATGTATCATTATATAGGGTATTACCGCAATACTGTATATCATGGTAGCCGTGGTCCTCCATCCTGGTCCTTGAGGGCCACAATCCTGCCTGTTTCAGTTCCCTGCTTTAACACACCTGATTCAGTGATTGAATTACTTCAAGTTCTGCAGAAGTCTGCTAATCTTTAATTAATTAAATCAGGTGTGTTGAAGCAGAGAAACGTAGAGCATGCAGGATAGTGGCCCTCAAGGGACAGGATTGAGGACCACCAGTAGACAGTATTACTGTTTGTCTGGAAAGGTGTGCCGTTTTGTTTTACTGCATGTATTTTAGGGCATTCTTATGCACCGCATTCACAGAAATCTTTCCTCGACACATGTGTTGCGGTGATGAAAATAATGCCACCAAACAGCAGGAGTGGCTCAAGAAGTTGTACAGGAAGTGGGTTGTTTATGCACAACAGCAGTTACAGTTTCAACTTATCCACGCCACCGTTTGAGAGAATTAAAGCAACTAGAGAAATTGTATTTCCTCTCAAAATGTAGTGTGAATGATTATTACTAAAGAACTTGCTAAAAAAAAAAGCTGAAATTCGCAAAAACATGCTGAATTGTAGCTGAAATGGAAGAACAAGTCTAAGTTAGCAGAAGAAAAAAGAAAGAACAAATATTTTCTGAATTACGGTAAGTCTAAATAAGCAGAAATAAGCACAGAAATTAGGAAATTAGCTAAAAAAGCTGAAATTAGCACAAAAAAAATAGCTGAAAAGCAGGAAATAAACTTAAACTACCAGAAGGACGTAGAAAGAGCTGAAATGAGCTAAAAAATGTGGAATTAGCTGAAAAAGCTAAATTTAAAATAAAAAAAGCTAAATAGTAGTTAAAACAGCAGAAAGGGCTGAAACTATCAGAAATAAGCCAAAAGGAGCATAACAAACTGAAATTAGCTGAAAGAAGGTAATTAGGCTGAGAGTAGCAAAATTAACCACAAAAAATTTGAATTAATCTGAAAACAGCTGAAACTAGCTAAAAGAAATGCTAAAAAGTTAGCTGAAAATTTAGAACAAGCGTTAATTAGCAGAAGGAAGTGGAGAGAGCACAATTTTGTCCAAATAGGTTGAAAGAAGCAGATATTTGCAAAAAAGTGGAAATTATATGAAAAAGCTGAAATTAGCTAAAAAATAAAAAACAGCTGAAAAGTAACTAAAAAAGCAGAAAGAAGCTGAAACTACCAGAAGGAAGTGGAGAGAGCACCTTTTTGCTGAATTAGGCTGAAAAAAAAGTCGAAATGAGTGCAAAAAATGTGGAATTAGCTGAAAAGGCTAAAATTAGCATAAAAACTGCTAAACAGTAGCTGAAATAATAGAAAATGCTTAAACTAGCAGAAATAAGCTGAAAGGAGCACAACAAGCTGAAATCAGCAGAAAGAAGTTAGAAGAAGCACAAAAATGTTGCTGTTAGAAGAAAGAATTTGAAAGGAGCACAAAACAGCTGAAAAAACAGCTGAAATGTGAAAGGAGCCGTAAAAGGTTGTAAACAGATCTAAAGATTTGAAAGATGTAAAATGAGCTCAATTCATTTTCTGAGGGAAAAAATGGCAGAAACATTTCAAAAAGCTAAAGATGCACCAAAACCAAAGGTCACTGCAGGACTGTCCTGAAAGAGCTGAACGTTTTGATTTATGATTTGTTGAAAACTGCGGGACGAGAATCGTGCCGAAAAACGTACAGAAGGAAAATGGAACACAACAGTGTGAATGCTTCATTCATACAATGAGGTTGTTGGTTTGATACCCCCAGGATACCCCCTAAATCCTAAATCCATCATGGTAATTTTGTTAAACTGAGCCTGAACGTCAACAAATTGTTCTCCGGTCTAAAAATCTGTGGTTACTCTGAATCGTCTGTGATGCAATCATTAGTTTTTTGAGGGTGTCGCAAATGTGTTGGTCTATAAGAAAATCCTTTCTGCAATATTTTACATGAAAAATTAAATTTCTGAAAAAAACAATCTGAATTATATTATCGTTTAAAAAAAAAAAAAAAGGCAACACGAAGCACAAATATGCAAACTTCAAATCAACAGTGCCGCTTTGTTCCAGTCAGCGACAGCGTTCGATCATCTGCGTTTCTTTCAGCTAAAATGCAAAATGGTGCGTTTATGTAACACTTTAACTCAAGCGGCTTCACAATTCGTCCCCGATGACTCATTCACAAACACACTTAGTTACCGTGCACGGTGCTCGTCTGACACCTGGGAACAATCTGGAGTTTAGTCTCATTCAAGGTCCTTCGACTCGTGGGCAGGAGGAGCTGAGGGTCAAACCGCCAACCATGTAATTAGTGAGCGGCTCGGTCTACTTCCTGAAGGCATCATGCTGGAGTTGCGTTAGCGCCACAAACCAAGTGTGACCGTGAAGTTTATTAGTGAAGGTCTTTAAATAGAATAATTAAGCTGCAGTTAATTTAGACTCAGCAATAATTTGCTTAAGAATAAAAATCTTTGGGACAAATGGATTCTATTCTGGTTCTGCAGACGTTTGTAAAAGCTACAGTAACTGTAAAGGCACGAAAACATTTTGTGACAGAATTTAAAAAAAGACACGTGAATTTGACCAAATCAGTTCTAACAAACATTTACCTTCATGATCAAATATCTTAATTGTTCATCAGGAAAAGCAGAAAGGTTCAAATACGAGTCACAGAACGGAAAACAACAAAAACAACAACAACCCAAGATGGAATTGAACGCAGCCGTTTGCAACCTGCAGCTCTGAAGCTGCACGAGGATCTGTGAAAATAACAGCAGAGAATATTTACATCAGTAGGAGAGTTAATTAAAATTAATCTAAATTTAAAATATGTGCATGAAAAACGTGCAACAGGATGACGCTGATATGAGAAGTAGTGAAGTGCCGTGATCTAACTGCAGGGCACGATTCATTCGCACGTCTGTTTTCATTGGTTTGAAACTTGGACGTTGTTTCTGCTGCGTTCAAACGGTCCAGACGGTGCTTTCACTGACCGCACAACATGCAGGAAATCTGCATTTTAACTAAACTGAGTCAACGTGCAGAGGAGGGGAAGAAAGACGTCCAACATCCATCCATCATCTATCCATCCATCCATCCACCTATCATTTATCCATATATGCATCCTCCATCCATCCATCTATCCATCCATCCATCCATCAACCAACATCCATCCATCCATCATCAATCATCCATTCATCACCCATCCATTCATCATCCATCCACTCATCATCTATCCATCTGTTCATCAACCATCCGTCCATAATTCATCCATCTATCCACCATCTATCCATCCATCATCCATCCATCCATCCATCATCCATCCATCAATCATCTATCCATCCATCATTCATCCATTCATCCATCAATCTATTCATCATCCATCCATAATCCATCAATCAGTCATCATCCATCCATCCATTCATAATCCATCATCCATCCATCAACCAACATCCATCCACTCATCATCCATCCATCATCCATCCATCCATCCATCCATCCAATGGATGGATGGATGATCTTAACTAGAAATGTGGAGCTGAGTTAATAATTTGAAGCTTTTAACAATCTGTGAGTTTGATGGGTGTCGCAGGGCGTGCTGATAATTTAATGTTGCAGAACAGAAATGAATGAATGAATACCAACCTGACAGATTCTTGCTGTTTTTAAAGAGCACGGAGGAGACTGGAGCTAAATGAAAGTGTTAATGTGGCGCAGAGGCTCAGAGGACGGAGGAAAGCATGACTAAGCAGAAAAAGATGCAGATAAAAAGCAGACAGATGAGCTGCAGTCAGAGCAGATGACTTATTACCCAAAACAAGCTCGACACGAACACTAAAAGTGATCGGGGGCGGCTCCATCCCTCCACGCCGATACCAGTTCTACATCATTAGATTTGCTGCTCCCTAAGAAAACCGTCTAAATGTGCACCTTGCGTGGTTTTCTCCGCTCATGTTCCCAAACAAATTACTCCTGGCGTGGAACGCAGCATGTTGCATACTGACAATGGGAGCAATTTATTCTGGAGATGTGTTTGCTTGACATCGCCCCAAGCAGCAAAAAGGTAAACCAAAGACTCCTCAGTGAGAAAACGCCGGGCCGAGCCTGCAGCAAAACTAAACGCTACTCTGCAACAGAATGACGGCGCAAAGCACCCGAGTCACGCCAAAATACAGCAGTTGTGCTCGTAAGATTTACAAGAAAATTACTGCG